CAGCTAAACCTGTTGACCTCTCTTAGATTGCTTTACTGAACTGGACTTGTATGACAGTATGGCACAAGATTTAAAAGCAGGCTGCACAATTGACAGTTGGAATCAAACTCTAGAACGTCCAACACTCATGACTTTTTGTAGCACATACATTTCTGCAACCTCGAGATAATTTAATCACCAACTTGGAAGGTTTCTGAAAAGTGTTCTTTCTTTTCCCTTGTTAGCACAGTTGGGCTGGATCACAGCAGTACAGCCCGTCACAAATGTGTCATACTGCAGCCACCAACAGAACCTTAACAGGCTTTGCACATTCCTCTGCTCTGCAGTGACAACCCACACCCCCGCACGTTTTCTTCAGGTTTAAGGATGATATCCCATCATCATCTGCTCACAGGGTCAGCCATAATCAGAACAACTGGACAAGGTCATGCAGAGATTGCAGCTAAAGGCTATCCTTTGTAAAAGCTCTTGGACATCCTTGACACCTAACACTCAAAGGTCTGCATTATTCATCGGTAGCTGTGCTACACCACTATCTGTAGGAGTCCTAATGGAACCCTGGATGAGGTCGGTCTTGTATGACTGACATATGGAGCCATTTAGAGGTCAAAAACATTGAAGATAATTACACTTTTTTTTGTCCTGCACAAAGGCATGGACGATTGTAAGGTCTAAAAAGAGCTGTCCAAGAGGAGTGGATATAAAGAAGGAGTCGCTGTCAAACCCCAATGAGTTAAGGGCCACTGCTGCCAGTGACATCCAATCAAATAAGATTGGATGGCCAAATCAGTGTTCAAAGTTCAATACAAATAACAAACTTCTTGTATATATGTATATGTATATATGTCTACAAGTAAATATTGATATATTTACATATTGTTATATATATTTGTTTATATATGTATATATATCACGCTCATTAATATAGGTCATTTGCCTCCCACCAAAAGTTACTAAAGAACATTCACCACATTGGATATAGACCTTTCCAATGAAACCTTTCCAAGTAAATGTTTTAAGACCCTTTGCCTCTGCTGACCAGACCACAGAGACTGTGGAAGAGTTGCTTCCTCCAGGCCAACACAACATTTAACTCCCTACTCCTCCACATTGCCCTACTCCTCCACATACGCACATAAGCACCAGATTATTGCACATATTTACAGTAATTGGCATCATTTTATATCCCCCTTGACCTCTGACAGAGCTGCGTCCAGGGGTGAACTGTACCAGATCATCGTTATTCATAAGAAATTGTTTTTACAGCAATTTGTCTTGCTTGGTTAAATGAAGTAAAAATTAAATTAAAAATGAAAAAGTACATGCTTTTTTATTTATACATGTTTAAACTGGACTATTTTTCCCACACTTGAAATAATGTGCCAGACCTGGTAAAAGACTGAGTTGACATTTTTCACATATACTGTGTATAGGTTAAACATCTACTTAATAAGCGCATAAAATAGACTAAACATTATAGTTAAAGGTCAAATCAAATAGAAATTAAATGGACATTTTCCCCTAATTACCTAGATGTGTGTTACCCTTTATTAGGGCATCATTTACAGTTATGGATAGCTAAAGGTCAGCTATCAAGGTCAGGCTGACCCCATATATTTTATGAATATAAAACAAATGCCATTTCAGTCCATTTGACATTAATAATCACTTGTAGACAATAAACATGTAAATTAGACTTTGACAGCTTCAGGTACTTTTATATTATTTATTTCTTTTAGGTGTCAAACTTCGGCAAACCTTTAACATATTTCTTCATAGCAATCTCCATGAGGAGCGGATGACAGTATATAAAATATGCTAATATATTCTGTTCATGCATAGATATAAGTGTAGATTAAAAATCCATCCAGTATGTCATGAAATTGACACATAATTGAAAACGCACATGAGAGGAATATCAATACTCTCACAGGCCTTTTCATATTATCAGATACTTTAAAGCTCACCACTGCAGTTCAGTGGCACAATGTTCTCATGGGTATTGTAGTTTATTTAAGTAGGTCAACAATGTTAGCAGTGACATCAGGGACAAAGACTGGAGCAAGACATATCGTAAGATTTGTTTTGTTATGATTACCAAAAAACCTATGTAGCTTCTTGTTCTTCTTAACTTCTAAATGTTGAATTTTATATAACTTCCTCCTGTTCCTCCTTGTTATAGTTTATCGTCTTTTGTCCTTCTAGTTATGGGGAAAAAACAGTGTTATTTTGCTTTATTACTGCAACATTCAGAGCCACATTTTGGGAGAGATGGTCAACACTCAACTGAAGCCCTGATATGTGTGCGACTGTCTTTGGTTAATGTTATTGCTGCCTGCAGCACAAATGTTTAATTCAGATAAAGCACCTTTTTAAAAATATTTTCAACTGCAAACAGGCTTTGAAACCTTTCTGGGTTATTTATTGCTGTGTGACCAAAGAGACAGCTTCCTGTTTGTGGATGTTATATAAGATCAGTCAGTATAAAGTCATGGTAGTTTTTCTACTGCAATTCTGTGTATTGTGTCAAATTGAGATCCTGTGTGAATCAGTGTGCCTTCAGGCAGGTGAACGCAGGAGGGAATCTCCAGCTACTTCCTTGCAACTCAGTCCAACATCCAGCTGATATTAATTATCAATATTACACCGGCTGCCATTAAAACCTTTAAGAGGCTGTGATTAAACCCTGAAACCAATGAAGCAGGGCCACGCGGAGTTTTAAACCGGGCTTTTAAAGGATTTATTTAATGATATAAAATTCACCCTGGCGTGTGAGGCTGTGGGAGGGGGACAGCCTAAGGAGAAGAGCTTCTGTACTGTGGTCTTCTTCCAGCTGTTAGGACTTAAACCACAACATAACCAAGGTTGCTGTAAATTGCACATTTAAAATAAGATTTATGTCAAACTATAGGCAATGATTTAATGTCCCTGGACAAGCTAATATAGCTTTTCACTTTACCAGCGCAGTCAACAGATTAGACATTAGCACCAAGTCACTTATTTTACCAATGTTGTGTTTGTTTATTTGTTTTTTAAAACATGGAAATAGTGACATGAAGTAACACTTTTCAATTGTGCTATGTGTGTAAAAGCTCTGCTCACTTCCTGGTTAGTTTGCTGTGTCAACTATGCAGAAAGATTCTTTTTATTTGTGTTTATCTCTTAATATTATTTATATATTCCACCCTTAGTTTTATTGACATATTGTCTAATGTGGTGATAGTGTCAAGTGGAAAACTTTTTTTTTAAAATACAGAAATATTTGTCTTCTTTTGGCTTGAAATATCCTTCTGTCAATGAGAGGAAAATAAAACTGGCTGTCACCGTTTTCCTGCTGTGTTTTCAGTGTAGTTTGGGTTGAGTTCACACCCACACTGCACGTCACACTATTACTCACAGAGCTGTACGACCTCTGTGTAACACTGCTTTCCAGTTAATTGCTTATTTATTGAGTCACAACCTCATGTGCAATTAGTGTGACAATCATATTTGCTTGTAAAATAACAGGACAACCTTAATAGAAACCAAAACAACCCACTTATTTTCAATTATCCAGACTTCTGGCTGACCCGAGGTCAGATGACTAGGCAGGAATGACATTTAAGGTTTAGAGTTTATTTTGTGACAAGTTAAGGACTCCTCTACTTACCCCTCCTTCCCTCCACCATCATGGTTACATGATCCTTATATTTGTTAACTGCAGGTGCCTGTAGACACATGTTCATGACATTGGCCTTGAATCATGTGGGGAAAATGTATGCGTACACACCCGTATTGATCCTACTGTTTAGCCCACCTTGCACTTACAGAGTGTGGCTTTGGTCCTAGGCTGACAGAGATCAATGGTGGCCGTCACATAACCGAGAGGATGTGGTTGTTACTTGTGGTGTAGGCTTCTATGTTAAAATGCATTATTTATGCTTTTTAACATAGAACTGTGTGTCTGTTGAAGCTGCTGTAGAAAAATAATGCAATTTTAGAATAGTCTGTGTGTCTGTTGAAGCTGCTGTAGAATCGTGGTATTTATACTAAGGCTGCGAAATAATGGTGTTTTCCAAAATGTATCTTTTTAGATTTATTCTTCTACTTACTGCTCAGAAGATTATACCTACATTTGCGTTGATTTTTTTTTTCAATCTGGTGCAATCACTACCAAATTCTTATCAACTTAACAATAGGACAAATGTAATTTGAAATTTAAAAAGTGTTCTTTAACAGTTAGGAAAAGTCTCTTACTTTTGCTCACAGCCAGTGCTGACCTCTTATCAACACAAATGCAAAAGGGAAAGTTGCCAGAAGCTAAATTAAAAATGAAGCCACAGCAGGGAAACAGGCTCGCTGTCAGACATTTGAGCAAAATAAATGAGGAGGGAGTTTGTAAGAGTTGCAAAATTGAAAACGGAAGAAATATTAAAAGGAGAATATTGATCTTTCTGGTGACTAATTTGATTCCTAAATATAGCACCAATATTAGTGTATAATAAAAAAAAGAAACTACTTTTCATTGCATTGATGTCTTTGTGTCTTTACTACTTTAACATATGTAAAGTAGGGCTGACAAACTCAATCAAATGAATTACCTTTAAAATCCAGTGCATTATGATATTTATTGTCTTTTGTTATTAGCATTTTTTTTCAGTAATTCCACATTGTTGCTCTAATACATAGTCAATAAACATGCTGTTATTTATGCACATTGTGAGAAAGTCTTCATTTCCACAAAGAACCTCATAACAGAAAAATAGTTCTACAGGCCACTGTCCAGAGGCAGAATACAGACTTTTCATATTAATAACTCCATTATTTGGATTAGTCACAATGAAAAAGGTGTGAAAACACATAGATGCTGTTATTTGTCTTTTTGTTCCTGCAAAAACGTTGTAGTTAATGCTTATTCATCTCAAATAATCATCATTAATTGTAATGTAATTGATACACAATCCACAGTTACCTTGTTATAGTAAAATGTAATAATGTAAATGTAAATAGAAATGTTTGACAGCCCCAATATTAAGACCTTCTTGCTGATAGTACACAGTAAAATATGCTCTATACTATTAGTACTATTAGATGAGAGTTTGCGAAGGCCTGTTGTTCAGGCAGCTCTTAGGCCAGACATTGTACTGTGTTCAAATGAGGCAAAGAAAATCATCATAATCAAATTACCAACCCCGGAGGAGGAAGAATTACTGAGGCCATGAAATGAAGGCTGCCAATTACCAGGCTGTTCTCCACAAATGCAGGGTGAAAGTATGGCAGGGGTGCTGTAGAGGTCGGTCGGGCCAGTTACTGTGTACACTGCTTACAGCCATCAGGAGAAATGAGCTGTTAGCAGGCAACTTTTATTGGTCTTAGGGAGCCGGGAGTCACTAGTGCAGGATTGCTATAGTTACTGGTTAAAACATTTGAGGGATGTTGATTCATTGTTTATGGAACAAAGAAATATTAACTGCCAATGAAAATACTTCATTTGAAATATTTATCCTCGCTGTTGGTGCCGACGTGTTGAAGGTTAAACCAGTTTTACATGTCACACTAATTTTTTTGCTTGCTTGCTAATGGCAAAACAGCAGGATGGCTGTGTCCTCTAGATCAGGCCTTCTTTTTTAGGTAGATGATTGTAGTGAGTGGGTTGTATTTCCTATTTTGTTGGAATTAATTATTGCCTGCGTGTTGAAATTTTCACGGTCAAATGGTCAAACTGTTTTTGTGGCTCTTTTGTCCCTCCCGATCCTGAAAAGAATTCAGTGGCAGAAGCTGAAACAGTGAATAATTGGGGCCGACACAGACACGCCGGGGAACGCTGTCTAGGAAAAAAGCAAATGACAAAAGCTACAGAGAAAAATGACACCATTTTATTGTATTGCCTCTTTACAAACAGGCCAAGATCAACCATGTTTTTTTTCATAAGGAATATTCTTAGTTGAAAACATTGAACACATTTTTTTAACTCACAGGAACTTTTTTCATGAACTCGACCATCACTGCACATGAACCGACAGAACAACACATTGTTTTCCCAAAGTAGACACAAACAACCGAGGACAAGATATCCCACCAAAACAAGACCTCATGCACCAAGTCACCACTAAATTTAAAATAAGAAAGGATGGCAGTTCAACTGGTTGTTAGTACATTGTGCAAATATAGACTCACCTTATCGGAACACATAACAAGACAATGCTTTAAAAAAACAGTCACGACGAAACCCAGGAATAGTCCAGAGTTTGGATGTCTGCATGTGTCTGATGGGTTTTTTTTCTTATTAAATATTATAGCAATGAAAACATCCACTTTAACAGTCATTCAATTCAACATGCAACTGATGCCAGTGACTGGATCTCAGCACAGCTCTGACTGTCTTTTTTATGAATGTCAGCGTTCTTTTTTTAGGACTCGGTGTGCATCCTTCGGGAGCACTGCTGTCCAGGGCCACAGCCCAGGCTTCAGGTCGATTCTATCTCTAGTGGGGATTGTCACTCGAGGTTATGGAGATGGGGGTGTCTTCAGAGAGTTACAGGATCCTCCCTGGCTACTTCCTGAGGTCCCCTGGTACTAAAAATAAAAAGGTAGAACATCAAACATAGCTGGGCAGTCGCAGCAGAGAGGAAGGTGACTGTGTGTTTTTGTCAAATAAAAATCCCTGTTGGTCAAAAAGCCCTGTGCTGTTGTCAGCTGCACGGGGGTTACACTTCCTTCGACAAATAATACCGTTAGCTTGGGTTTGTTAGATTTTCAAGTGGCGAATGGATAACATACAACTGCTATTTTTGTGGCAAAAAACCTCTGGATCTGGAATATAAATTGTCTAAATCTTTGTCAACTTCCAGCTTCTGTTTCATAAAAAATGTAATATAAATGTGAGTTTTGGTCCCTCCTTTTTGATAATTTATTTGTATTTCCTAATACACAATCTTTTTCTAATAAATTCTTCAGTACCATTTACAGTATATATTTTATTTAGTGACTTTTTTTTCCTGTTTTCTTGCACAGACTTTAATATACGTAAATACTTACGTCATATGTTTATTTGTTTACAGTTTTTCCCTCTTTTTTAATTAAATGGAATGCACCGACAGACTGAAAACAAAGGATGAAAGCCTTCACTGACAAAGCAGCTCAGCTGGCAGACAACAGCGAAAACTCATTTACATTCAAAACAGTACTTTTCAGTTTTGGACAGAGCCAAAAGATAAAGGACTTGTGAAGACCATAACTTTCCAGTGACATTACTGGGGAGTTATGAATAATATAAGAGATTTGCGTATGACAAAAAAACCCTCACAGAACAAAAACAAACTCAAGTTTTAGTTTGTTTTGTTATTAAATACTTTTTCAAATGAAATCAATGCAACACAAAAACACACAGACAATTTTTAAGCGACTCTACAATGCTAACGTGTTTGTATTGTTAGTGTAAATGTACTATTTTTGATGCAAAGCAAGATTCAATAAGATTCAAGTTTTTTTTTTTTTCATTTTCCATCCAAAAATTTTCACCAAAATCGGACCAATACCAACCATCCAAATATTTTCACCAAAATCGGACCAATACCAATCCTGGTTATCAGACCAAATTATCCCTATAAAAATTATAAAGAAATGAATAAGTGTGACAGTGTCAGTGTTGTTTAACCTGAGGGACATGACAAAAATCTCAACATGAAAGATTGCTTTTGAATAAACAGTTGTTTTTGGAAGCGTAATATACAGCAGATCTCCACAGTGTAATGGGAGGTGTTTCTTAAATGGTCAGTGTCAGTTCAGTCACAGAACACCTACCTCAACAAGTGGATGCCAGTGGGCGACAGGTTTTCTGGGATATGTGAGCATTTCACCCCAGTGGTCTCGTCCGAGGTTGTCTGCATCGTTGCCAACTCGACACACACCGATTACTTCATTATGGCCGACACTAGAGAAAAAAAAAGTTGTCTAAGAGTTAGTGGAACAGACTGAAGTTCATGCCACTTTGTCAACACACACTTTATTTCAGATCAAATTAGCTTAAGGCTAAATTCATGCTTTAGCAGCTGTTTTAACTCGTGGTTTTATTCCGTGTTCCCTAACATTTTACAGTATTGTATTTTTTAGTGCTAATACAATTAAGTTTTAATCACATTATTAATTTGTCTTGACAACATCATTTGGATTAGTCGCAAATAAATAGGTGTGGAACACGCATGTCTACTTGCTGTTATTTGTCTTTCTGTTCCAGCAATTTTTTTTAGGAAAAAAAAACAGAAAACATTTATTTTCTCATCCCGCAAAAAACAGAAAACATTTATTTTCTCATACATTTACATGTTTCTTTATATCAGACAATCATAATAAATAGTGGCTCATTATGATCATGATTATCGTTGTTTATCCACAGCTACCCTGTTATTCGTCAGATTAAAATAGTTTGAAAGCCCAAAATATTACTAACTACAAACAACAAGTTTTAATTATTTGCTTTCCTTATTGATTATACAGTTTCAGAGCTGTAATTAGTTTCTGCAAAGCTGCTCATTGAAAAACCTCCCAGTTGGTTACATGTACGCTTCCTTTCTAAAACTACGCTCTGTCGCAGGTTTGAGTTTTCCTCACTTTTTTTGCAGGAGCACACAGTTTTCGATTTCATTCGTTTTTCTACAACTCTAAAATATACTTTGAAATGTATTCACCGGTCATAATCCATCACTGCAATCAGAAGGCTGATCTGCTCGATGCTCTCTGGAGGGACATCAAAGACAATAGCCTCATTATAGACTGGATTCAGAGTGTTCCTCTTCGTCGACGTCTTCCTCTTTTTCAGTCTCCGACCATCGCACATTAGTGAAACCTTCACGTATGGATCTATGTAAGTGGGAGATGAAAGAACATATATTTTTCTTATTTAGGACAATCAGTGGACCCTGCAGTGGTAGCACATTATCAGATTTTAATTACCAGATGCACCAGTGATATCCATAGCCTTGAGATTGCGTGCCTTTATCATGGTAATAGTCAATCTGCCGGCAGTGGGCAGGTAACAGAGTGAAAACATCAGATCCCCGAGGTCCACGTTATCCTGGAAGACAATGGAAAACACATTTACTCTACCATTAACTTTATGTCCGTAATATATAGACCTGTGTGGGTCTATCGTGGGCTGAAGGTGGGCCCTTATCAGCCCCTCGTAAACCTCCCTTATATGGGTAGCTGGAGCTGTGGCTTGGTTGGTTGGTTGGTTGTGCAGTTCTCTTTTAGCCAAAGGACTGTCGGTTTGAGTCCAGACTGTGGATCTACAGTACTTGTCACTGATTACTTTTGTAAATGGGTCTAAGTCTTGTGTGTATATGTATATAAAACATTTATTACGTGCCTACAAGCTGTTGGCGTGTGTTGCCCATGGACATACATAATGAAATACACAAATGAGTCAAACAAATTCAATAGGGCTGTTGAAATTAACTCGTTAATCATGTTAATTAATTTGTCAAGGTTAATTTGCTTAAAAAACCTGACATGCGTGTAAATGATGATTAGAATGACACGCACCGTACATCTAATACATCTAGTCTGTGCACTTATTGTTGCTGTAATACACAGTTGATACATAGTTGATACACATGTAATAGGTGTAAAGAAATATCGATTCAACCCTGTATAAGTATCATATTACCACACACATTGGAAGTTTTAAAAAAAACACCTAAACATCCAGCATGTATTTATAGAGGTTTACTGATCTGGCGTCTGTGATTTGTAGTTAATTTTGATGTAAGTAAGTAAACTGTTCAAGTTTGACACCTTCAATTTTGCACCATAGAATATTTTATTATTAAACTGATTTAAGGTATTATTTTTAAATCTGAACTGTTAGTGAACCCACTCCAGGTCTCTGTTGTGTTCACTCACATCTCTTCCTTAATTTGGTTGTACAGTACCCCCGGGTACAGTGACAATAAAGACCATTCAGTACAAATATAGATATTGGCCCCGTGTATATTTTAAATATTTAAACCACATGTTTGTAGCAAAGCAGTAATTGTTTTAAAATGCACCTCAGAATATAAGAAATATTACACAATCCTTATTTTGTAAAGAAAGGAGAAAGAACACCTCCTTAATGCTATCTGCTCCAAAAATGAATAGAATATTCCCTGGACTGTGTCCCAGCCTGCTTTCAAGTTTCAATAACCAGTCCTGTTGTTTTTGCATAATCTTGTTAACAAACACACAGCATGAAAACCCTAACCTTGGCAGAGGAGATAACAATTATGCAATTGTGTTTTTCTGGCACTGCTTCTTTTACTCTAGATAAAGAATATAGCACTGACACTGACTTTGGGTTAGAGTGGAATTAAAGTGTGTTTCTTTAGATGTATGTGTATGTTTCTGTCACATGGCTCTAATAAAAGCCTCCCACATTTCACCTGATGTGGAGACTTCTGTTCAGCTGCAGAAAGGCAGGAGCTCACTTATCACTTGCTCTTAAAATAGCCGGGCCCAAGAAGTGAGAAGCAGATAAACACACATTCGTGTCTGGTGGTAGATCCTACACTGGAATGTGGAGCCGATCTAATAGTGTGTCAGGGTGATGGAGAGAGGATTTTGAAAAACTGATTTTCTCTGATTTACAAGGTTTTTTTTTTTTAAAAAAAAAAAAAAAGAAAATCAGGCAATTTAATTCGAAAATGTGAACATCCTCTCTCTTTTAATACGTGTCAATTTACTTTTGAACGTACCTGTGGGAGAAGGCAAATAGAGAATGGAAGATGGCCAATCAGGACTTTAGAAACTTTTCCCTATATCTTTATTTGTCATGTCTGAAAAAGTATTTAGTTAATGTTCATACAAAATATACAACAAATGCTTGGAAAAAATAAATGTTTTATATTTTTAATTCTTAATGGCAGGGTTGCCAATTTGAATCCAGGCTCCAAAAGTGCAGTCCTCTGCTTCAATGGCTCTGGTGTAAATCAGTTGGTAAGAAAGTAATTTAACCATACAAGAGTCAAAGACTACCCCAAAAAACCTCAATACTTTTGTTTTTACAAGATCATCAATATAACCCACTGTATTTATTTGCATTCAAATCACCCAGACTTATGTTGCACACTGCTTACAATTACTGAAAAGTAGGTCTCTCCACTGAGAATTGGTAACACTGCTCTAAAAATGCATACCCCACCACAAACGGAAGCTGAGGGCTTTTCATGCTATGTGGTCTTTCAGCATAATAGAGAAGATACAAGTGGATAAAGGGGGAGATTAGTGCTGTGTGAGCGCTGCAGAATTCCTCTTAGAAAACAAATGGCATACGTCGCCTGCAGTGTCTGATAACCGACTGGATTCCATATGTCACACATTGACACACACTGCACTTGTGTGTGTCATTTATCTTGCAGAGAAGCTGAAAGCAGCACTTGAAATAATAAACAAAAAAGAAGTACAATAAGTGGTAATAAATTCTATCACTTGTGTCTGTGTTTCCATTATCTTTCTCAAAATCATAAAAATAACCCACTCACTCTGCCATCACTCTACAATCTGCCTCTTGTGCTGCAGAGCACAAGCCAAACCTGGCAGTGAAACAACACATATGGCCGATACGGAAAGCAATCACGACTTACTGGTTAGAAATGATGGGATTAAAGTGAAGTAAATGATTATTTACAGTAATTGTGACAGATGGGCTCTGGTGGATTGGTTACGAAAAGCTAATGCATCTGTAGTGGGTTTTTCGAAAATGAGTAAATGTGCTTTGAACACATCTAAGCAGTCGGGCAAGTGTGTCTGTGTGTGTCTGTGTGTGTCTGTGTGTGTTTGTTTGTTTGTGTGTGTGTGTGTGTGAGGTCTGTCGCTGTTAAAACTGAACCGTGTGTAAATTGAGAACCCTAGATCCTGTGAATCCCTGATCTCAGACACCACCTGCCACACTCTTTTCTGTTCAAACAGGCGAACATTGATTTACAATTAACACTGAGGACACAAGTGTCAGCACTGACTGAGAAAACAGCCATGAGGTGAAAGCTCCAAGGAAGGAGAAGACACGGTGGTCCCTCTAGGGGTACGTACTGTATCTATATATAGCTTTAACATTTCTATTTGGAGCACAGACCTGCTGCCATTTCCTTAATCTCTGAGATCTCTGTTTTCAATAACGATTGTATCTTAATTAGACAAATACCTTTTTAAGTGAAAACTCAATTTTCTTTTGCATAATTAGAATCATGTAAAAAGACAACAAAACCTAATATTATGTTATTCAGCTTGTAGTACCACTGCTGGACAGCAGTGGTTGAGGTTTGTTGAAGGTGTTTCAGGACTTATCTAATAGTCTTCTTCTTAGAACTGAATACCTGAATGATGTTGGTTTCACACAACTTCAGGTGTGAATGGGAGTTTGTTGAGACTAAATGTGTGTTAGGTTTTTGTCTGAATGACAGTAGAGATTTCTGAGGAGACTGGGAACTCAGCACCACATGGAGGTAGCTGAAGGTTGATGACTTTGTAGCTTTGACATAAATGGTAGCTGTTGGCTCGTTAAAGATAAATGCTTTTTCATTAGATGATATTCTCAAGCAGTGTTTGTGAATGACAAATATTGTAAGTTAATGTATTCGTAATCTTTTCAGATTATGTCAAAACGTTGGCCAGTCTTTGCAGAAACCAATCATCCGTCTTTGCAGTCATCGGTGCACTCGTTGCTTTACTTTTCAGGGGTCACAGAGGGGGCTGAGCAACTGACACTGATTGATAGCAGAGGCTTCACAGTTCAGTAGCCCACCACCAGGCCAACACAAAGGCCACATCCAACTTTGTTTCCAACACTAATAATAATAGAGGACAGTCCCGACTGCAACAGCTCTTTCCTAACCCTAAAAAACATGTCACTTTTATTTGTACAAGTAAAATCACCAGCAGTTTCTTATAAGCGCATGAATCAATAGCAGGCACTTTCTGAGAGCAGTTTTATTAGCACAAACTTAAGGAATGTAATATGGATGGATGAAAGTTGGATGGATAGACAAATCATCACCTGTAATGGCGGATGGATGGATGGATGGATGGATGGATAATTGAATGGATTACAGTTCATCTCAGTATGCCGACTCCCAGCCTAACTAAACACTTCTTATCACTTTCCTCCTTGTCCAGCACCTGTTATTATTAAACAACAGCTGCCTCCTTCTATGTTTGCCTTGTCTGGCTTTTATTTTTCCAGGTGCGTTACGTGTCTCCTGCCTCTGGAGTCCACGTAGAATTAGACAGAAGCATCACAACAATGATAAACCTGTCCTGTTCAGCTGACGCCTTATCTGTTTTAACACAACAAACATTCCTTCAGGCAGGTATTAAATGATTCTGAAGTTTTTTTCTGTAAAAGTCCAAGTGCCTCCACTATATGAATTGTTTTAGCAAATATTATCTGTAAAAGTCCAAGTGTCTCCACTATATGAATTGTTTTAGCAAATATTTGAATCTAAAGGATGTAGTTTAAAGGCTCACAAAGTGGGATACCACAGAGTCAATGAAATCAATGTGCAGGTTTGCCAAATAATTAGCTCCTGTTGCATCTCCGTAACATTAAAGATGATAGCCTCGTCAGTTTACAGCATACAACATATCTTAGTTATTTAAGGAGTTTTTTTTATGTAGTGTTTGATATTAAAAAAGTTAACAGAGATTCTCCACAACAGCTCTGTTAACTTGAACTAACGGCATATTTGACTACAGTTTTGAAGGGAATGGGAAATTGAACCCTTGTTCTAAAAGAAAAGGGAATTCCCATTCAAACAGCTCTGCCTCATTGATTGCGTTCCACTGACCTCCCAAGGATGAAATAATTTGTCAGTGGTAATCAATAGCAACTCGTCTTATTAATGCCACTTGAGCTTGCCACAGAGCGCAGGATCAATTGCACGTCTCACATTTGTTTTATCAATGAAAACAATCACTGTAAGAATAGGTGGTTAGTAAATATCGCACCCGTGGTGATTATCTGGTAGATTTAAACAGCCTTAATATTCTTGTCACATATTCTCTTCGTCATTCTCTTTTATTCTTTTTTTACTCTCTCTCTTCTTTCACACACACACCAAACAGTGGCTAATGAGGAAACCTGACTTTTACATTCTGTTCAGATTAGAGGTCGTACTTTAAATTCAATTTACATTTGTTGCAAAAAAAAGGTCACAGAGGATGATTTGACATTAGAAAATGTGAAGTGAAGATGTCCTTCAACTGAGTCAAGTGGCCAAATTAACACGAAACAATGATCTCATTGGTTTTTTTTTCTTATATCGCTGACTGAGAAGGAAAGTTTTTTTAGTTAAGCTTTGGTGTTGTGAACTTTCTAGAGGTATTGAATGGTAAACCTTTCTAGTTTATAAATTTTTCCTGAGCCAAGGGTAAAATAAAAAAGATCAAAAAACAAAATAAAATAAATTAGTTTGCAGAAAACCGGTTTGTTGAAATGCTATGCAGTTGTGCACCACTCCATCATAATCCGGTGGTATCTCACTATGAGCTGAGGGTCCACAACGAACGACCACAATTACCATAAAGTAGTCTGGAACCTTCAATTTCACAATATATCTATTAAACTGCACACAGTAAACAAAGTCACTTAGTTTCACATTCTTGCTTTGAAGAAATCAATGTTTGCGACTTAGGAAACAAGATATTTATTTCCCACCATATTTTTTCAGATATCTGCTGCCACTGCACTGCTGTACAGTCCTGCTGGTGGTAACATCGTTTCTACTCACATGTCATCAGCTGCTGTGCTTTATTGCCACTTTAATCCCTTAATGGGATTATAATTAAAAAAATTAAATTAAGTGTGAATGAAAAATACCAGAAGGGCTGGTCTTCTTCCAGACTTTTTTTCTTTTACAACCAGATGTTTGTGTCCACTTGTTATATGGCCTTTGGCCAAGAGTCCAAAGCCTGGCCTGGAGGCCAATCATGGCCCCTGGACAATTTTATGTGGCCCCTGACTTAGATCTTTGTTTATGGCCTGTAAGGATGGCCAAGGAGCACCGATGAGTCGTATAGACCCCGGTTTAAATCCGTCACTAGAGGTTTTGCAGCAGCCGTTGCACTGCTCTGTGTTTTTATTAGTGAGCCTTACTTTTGGCCTAAAGTAGAGGTTTAGGTGTTGTGAAATAAAGCTGTTACTCATTTCCTTTCTTTAGTTTTTAGGGGAAATGTTCAGACCAGGTTACTTGCAGTTTGAGTAAACAGATATTTAAATAAGGACAGGTGAAATCAGATAGAGTTTCAGATGTGATGAGTTTGCCCTTTGGTATTTCTACAATATCTGATTGTCCTCTTTTGAAAAGATGGTTCAACACAAATTTTAATCCATTTTATTCACAGTCTAAAACCTTTTTTTTTAAATTTGAAATCATAAACTAGGTTTAAAGAACACAACTTTTAATCCATTTGAAACTTTTTTTTAAAATTTGAAATCATAAACTAGGTTTAAATAATTAAAATTAAATTAATTTAAGCAAAAATCTTCTATAAAGTATGTTTGCAGCAAATCTATCAGATATTTATAGACAACACTTGAACTTTTTCGAGCATCCTGGAGAAATGTTAAATAAGCCTTCATCAAGAAGTAAAGTATCTGCAGGTATAATCAAAACTTGGGTCTCGGTGAGTTTTTCAGTAAGGAACCCAAACCCTGGGAAAAGCACTAAATGCACAAACAAATGTAATCTAGTTCTTAGATAAACCACACGTTGTGAACCGTGTGAACCAAATCGTACCATTATTAGCCCACGGGCTTTATAATATTTGACAACAACCTGCTCTCAATTCCTCTGAGATCCCTTGTTTCTGTCTGCAAGATGTAGTAAAATGATATATACAGTCAAATGACAAATCCATCATTTTGACAATCAGTACTGACTCACCGAGGAGACGTACTGGATTTCGCGGCAGAGCCTTGTCTCCCTGGGGAAATCTGCCAAATCCAGGAAGTTGTCCACAACCACTTGGCCAATTATGTCATGGCGTGAGAAGCGATCAAAGTCATAGACGCTGAAGTGCAGCTTACGTGTTGGAAGCTCAGAGTATGCCACAGGAAAAAGGAAGACCTCATCAAACACGGGGTTTAGTGTTTTGCGATGCACCTTGGTCTGGTGTTTGGTCTTGCGATCAGGAAGCAAGTAGATCTTTACATAAGGGTCAGAGGTGCCAGAGAAGTCCTTGGCTGGGAGGCCCTCAGCTTTGTGGATTTTAACTATTAGCTGTTCAAGGTCGCAGTCAAATTTGAGGATGAAATGGAGGCGTCCGCATCCGCCTCCTCTACGACTGCCCTCATCTCCCTCAAGGGAGCGCTGTTTGTAGAGCTCGGGTTTAAGACGGCCTAGACCCAGTCCCATTCCGGTGAGGGAATCCTGTCTTTGAAACTGGGCCACATTAAAGTCTGGGTTAGATAAGTTCATATGTCTACGGATGGTGGCATGTCTGTGGGGAGAGGAAATAAAGACGACATATAATCGTACAACTTCAACATTGTACACCAATTCAAATTACATTTAGTGCATTTTCATCAAGAGTTGCACAAACATTTCAGCCTGTTAAAATAAGTCAACAGCGCATCGTGAAATATTTATATATATATATTTATATATAAGTCATTTGTCATTGTGTTCAAGGAAAAGAACTTCTAGCATTGCTACCTCTACCTGCAGTGCTGCTAAAGTTCAAATCTAGCTTATGTTGAAGAGTGACATCATATTGTTTTGTTAGAAATGAGCTGAGTCAACTGAGGTAACATCACGGCTCAAACTAGATTTCTTGATTTTAGTGCCTGCAGGGTGCACGCTATCTACTGATTAAAGTGGCTAACACAAAAACAACACACCATTAAAAGTAGCTAACCTCCTGTTGGGTTAAGGAATGAGTGGAAGAGACATTTTTGCTCTTGTAGATCAGGTGGATGTTTAATTGCAATATAACTGCAGTCATTAAAAACAGAGTCTAAAAGGTTTCAAAGTTAGTGAATTTAACGACTTGTTTAATCTAAGAAATGTTTTTGTTGCTTAGACTCTGGTTTACCTGGACATAAAACATTTAGTCAATAAAACAACAACTTGGATAAGAATTTTAAAGAAATCCAAATTTTCTACTGACCCGATTTCAGACATGGAACGCCCAGAAGATGAAGGTTCTGTGGTTTGTCGTTGCATACGAGGGTTGGTGTGAACCCCATTTTCACGACTTTTACATTGGGCGTCCAATGGGATGTCAGGGGACGTGTGGCTGATTTTCATAGCTGCCTCAGGTGTGGCCATGACGGGTGGTGGGGACATGGGAGTCACAGGTGCTTCCACTGATACGACAGATGCCACCGGCGTGGGCTCCTTCGCAAGTGTGGGGCAGTGGGAGGATTCACGGCGGTTGTGCGCTGGAGGATCCACGGCTGTGTAAACTGGCTGTCTGGGTGCAGACTGTGTCAGTAGGGGGCTCATTGTTGGGTTGATGTGTGCATGAGCCTCCTTGGTGGTGGGTGAGAGCCCGCGTTCCCTCCATGGTATCCAACAGAGCTTCCAAGAGACGAAGAGAGACACGCCAAACAAGGCCAAGCCGCAGGCAGTCACGACCAGTGACAGCAGACTCACAGATATATCTGTGGGGGTGACATGGAAAAGACGAGGTGATATCTATTTGCTTTCAGAAATTTTGCAGCTCTATATTTAATCCGCCTTTGTTTTCGATTTAACCTCATTGGCATCGTTGGGATTTTAGTCTTTGAGTGATCAGGGAGGACAGGACCAGGAAGGAGCAGATCAGAGAAAGAGCTAAGATTGGGAGATAGAGTTGGAGAGGCATGGTTGAGACGGTTCAGACATCTGCAGAGAAGAGATAAGATAATGGATGTAGTGGGCGAAGGATGGTGGAGATGGGGCTGTAAGGCAGGAGAAGACTAGACCTGTGTGAAGATGTGTGGCTGAACTGCGGTTGCAGAGGAATAATGTTTCAGTAAAGAAGGCAATGCAAATGGTGAAAAAGAAAAATGGTTTCAAACATTTAATTTAACGTCCATGTCATACTGTAAAAGTTTCAGTGCTCTTGTATATCGTGTATTTCACATTTTAATATGTTGTATTTTATTTCTTATTTTATTTTTAAGTTGTGTCTTTCCTTATTTCTTTAATAACCAGCTACTTTACCCAAGTATCAAATATGAAGGTGTCATAAAATAATCATGGGATAAAACCTATAACCACAAACCTCCTCTGCACACCAATAAAATGGATATTTTCCGGTAAAAGAAATGCTACAGTATGTGACTTTTATGCACGACATGAATTTGTATTATTGCACTTCTGGGCATGAGCTGAGGCAGTAGCAGTGGGAGTATAAATGTTTTACAGAAGTATCACACCGTGGGCCTTGCGCTGCCCAGGAAAAAGTTTATGGTTTCAAAACATGACTCTGAATATTCCAGCGGCGCGTTTGTTTACACCAGGAAACAGGGAATGGGTCTCAGTGGAGAGAGTGAGGCACAGAGTCGTCACAGGCTCAGTGATTCACCTCTGGTCCTCAGACCGACTGTAATCTTCTGTTTTTTAAATATAAATCAAAGGTCCACTCTATGAGTGAATACTAAACTAAAATGAGCTGCGTAAACTTTAGTGACTTCCATCACTAGTCCCAAGTCAGTATTTAGCACAAAGAGGCAAAGAACGGGATTTTACATTTTAGTGCGAAATATTCGAAAATTCTTGCATCATCTATAATTTGTAAGATTTTTGTATTTTATTATTGGATGGCAGAAGTATTAAATTTCAAGCCCAGAGCTTGTTTCTGAAGACTTTATTTATTCATTCATTTTTATTTTTAATAACCCATACCTTTCATAGAAAACCACGGGACACTAATGTGTTTAACTCCACTGTCTACTGACTGATTTGCATGACTGACGCCTGGTTTTAATCCTCTGATCCAAGCGAATCACGTAATGTCATCAGTTCACGTCAAGTCCACCAATCACCATTTCAGAGGGTAATTACCTGTGACCCTGATGTTTCTGATAATTGGATGGGATGCCTGTGTGCCAGGCACACTGAGAGATGTAGCTGTTCGGTGAATTAAGTTTTGTTGCAGTGGATGATAATTATGAAGCAAAACCATAAAGGATTCTTCCGCTCTGTAGCATTATTGTTTTAACATTTGTCTGCAACTAAATGTCCTCAGTTAATCGTACGTCTGTAACAAATCTGTTGTGAGAACGAGAACTAGCCAGGGTGCTAACCTCTGCACCACATTTGTCAAAATCGTGGCCTCCGAGTCAAATGTGGCCCATCCAGCTGTTTTGTTTTCTTAACTTGATAAATTCATTTCTTTATTACACAGAGCAATATACAATATTTGGAACTTGAATAAATAATATTAAACTGCAGAACTTTTTGTATTAATATGTTATGCAGTAGTTACACCTTTGCAATCTTACAGTTGCAACCGGCCCTTTAGGGAGGACTGTATTGCTTATGTGCCCCACCCCCCAAATTCCATGGTGCTCTTCACTATGGAACTACTAAAAGATGGCTTGCATTGGCCGGAAATCACACCACACTATGGAACTACTAAAAGGCTTGCATTGGCCAGAAATCACACCCTGGCCTCCAGTGTGGCAGGCCAGAATTTTAGCACCGAACACATTGTTTGATTTGTGTAAGAGAATGGAAAGCCTTAGTTACACCAGTGACCTCTGCATAATGAATGAAATCATGGTGAAGAATGAAAACTGTGTTGATGTAATTGGATGTTTTTACTGTAATGAAGTTGTGCATGTGTCGGAGTGAACCGTTGCCCAGCAACCACTGTTGTAGGAGGAGATGGTTTGCAGGTGGGAGGACAGACAGGGCAGGTAATGATTTTCCAATTTTATTTGTAGAGAAAAATGTGTCCAAGCATCATTTATCCTCCACTGATTGACTTCACCACCTCCTCTATGATATCACATATTAAATATTGATCCACTACATGTGTATGAGAACATCTGGTGTGTGCACTACAAGCTCGTGTTTACAGTTCTGTTCCCTGTACAGGGCAGATGAACTCTCGTCCAGCTTCTGAATCAATTATTTTACGTTGACGTTTTGAAATACCTTCGTTTAAGCAAGTCCAGGCTTCAACACCACAGTGTTTTAATAGCACCTTCTTTAGTCTTTTTTTCCCTTTTACCATAACCATTTGTGGCTCTGCCTGCTTCAGTGAAGCACAGTTCTGATTTACCCAATGCTCAGGTTTACAACGCGTCATGCTGCAAATACTGAATTTAAATGAATCCAAAAAGAGAATTAGGTTTGTTTTTTAAGAGACTGATTACTTTCCCTGACATTTAACTTTTCATTGTTAATCATATTGTTTCTTTATGAGCTGGCAGATTCTGGGATCCTACTAAGAAATGGAGCACATGCTGATATGCTTTAAAAGAAAATAATAACCACGGCTCTTCATAATGAGCTTCATAATCATAAAAAATACATTATTCATCTGATGGGGTGAAAGCTCTTACCTTTTTATGAGCTGATGAGTTTATCCCGTATTTTTCAGTGACTAAATTACTATAATGAACTTGGACGATTTTAGTGTTGTGTTTTAAATCTGCATTATATTTATAAACAGTAAGATAAAAGAAAATTATTAAAGAAAGTTCATTCAAAGTACATTATTTGTCATGTGCACAGTGAATTGCACACTGTATAGATGTCAGGAAATTTGAGGTTTCCTAACAACATTATTCAGCCATTAGAGATCATCTGGTGTGTCATGGAAAATGTTCAATTTTCACATAATTGTGTCTGAAACTATTGTGAATTTACTGCAAATAATTTGTCTTTGTTTGTCTATGTGATGCTGACTGGCAAAACTATTCAATACTCATTCACTAGGTGGCAGCAAATAGCTGAATAATTAAAAAAGAAGTTTTTTTTGCCTCTTTCCTCAGTTCCTGCTAGTATATCAGGGTTGCGTTCGACTAAACAGGCCCAGGTTTAACTCTCAGTTGGTAAGTTGTGAGTAAACTAGAAGATCATTATTTTGTTACACATAGGGGACTTCAGTTAGTGGATTTGATAATTACCAGTTATATGTTACTGTTAGAGATATATATGCTGTTAGGGTACAATGGCAAAGTATCTCTAATTACGAATGACACCAACAATCAGAACTCTAGAACTTGGTCCACTAGTACTGAACACGGTTCTAAGTACTTTATTGAATAAAATGGGTCCAGACTACCTGCTGCTGCTTCCTGCATCATACTCCCTACATTCTAACTATGGTAAAGTCACTGCAGTCACCAGACTGTACCGTACCATACTTTGACCTGGTAGCTGGTTCCACCAGTTACTGACTCTTCTGAACTCGACTTCGCTGTTGAACATCATCAGACTTTGCATAGAAATGTAGAATGTGTCGTTCACCTGCTGCAGAGATTCTAGACCGTTCACTCAGGTCTGTCTGTTCTCTCACTGCTCCTTCAAACTATCTCAGCAGAATGCCCTGAAACTCTCGGTCTCGGTCTGGTAGGTGACCATTTGCCTTCTTACTGTGCTTAGTCTTGACATTGTAACAAGAGACTGTTGTTTCCTCAACCTCGCTTTGGTAAAAGAGTTTGTCTGTTCTTTATCTAACTTTATATCTCCCACACAGTTTTATAAGTTTGTAACTGTGGTTTAATCTGATCTGAAAATGCAAATTAGCAGATGTAGCACTGGATATGCTAATGTCTCTGCTCGAGTTACAACACAGTGGATGGATGAGGTGTTTTTGTTGCCCTCCCTCTGGGATCAATAAAGTATCTGTCTATCTGTCAATCAATCAATCAATCAATCAATCTGTCTGTCTGTCTGTCTGTCTGTCCGTCCATCTATCTATCTAATTAACACGGTGTCAATTTGGTTATGAAACATGGTAATAGTTCAGTTCGAGTGACACTCCTGTAAGAATTGTGAATTTAATCAGAGCCCATTGCCCAGTTTTTTTAAATGATGCATTGGAACTTGTTGTTTTCCATTCGCATGTGCACAGGAAATTACAGAACCATAAAAAAACATTTTATTAATATTTTCTATTCCTAAAATCCCTTAGCAGTGCTCATGTAATTTCAGTGACTTTCTTGTTTTTTCATATCGAGTGATTGCCTTATTTAACGCATCATTCCTAACAGGAAAAACAGTGAATCACGCTGCACTGAGTCACGTCTGATTCACTGTTCCTACTTGTTGTGACATTTACACAGGAGTTACTTATAAATCCAATGACTGCTCAGAAATGAAGACTTTTAAAAGATGACTTAAATATTTCTTGTAAGAAGCAAAAGATAATTGATCCTTTCCCCAAATTCCGTCAGTGGTTCTCAATCGTGGCTCTGGCTCTTTGTGCGTGGGTGCTGCCATGGCCGGTTACCCAGACAAAGTGTCCTTTCTAGGCTCTAGGATTCTGTGAATGCCAGCGTTTGTGTGATTTTGGGAGAATTATGTGGAGGAATTGAGGGACATGTTATCTGAGGACACTGAGCTCACATTAGACTTGGCAGGAGGGCCTGAGTGCTGCCTGAAGGGAAGGACTACAGAGACCTGAAAACCTTATGGCAACATTGAATGGAAGCTGGACCAAATTTAGAGCCTACCTTAATAGGTGCTACAGTGTAGGAGGCAAAAAAGTGCTGAGAAGGAGGTTTATGGAAATGTCTACCTGCTGAGCTGCTGTTATTCAGCCTGTAATGTTAGGTGAGAGTTTTTATAATGCATTAAGTTGAGTTTTTTTTTAATTCACAAAGAATGTTTGATTTGTTAATTTTATGTCTTAGGTAACTTGACAGAATGTCTTACAGTGTCAGGCAATCATTCTTTATGAAACAGAATGTTCCTTTGATATATCTGCATTAATTATTTAGCTGCCCAAATGTTGCCATGTTGTTTCTTCAAACAAATATGCCTTAAAGCTGTGGAGTTTTTCTCAACTAGAATTTTCTCAACTCTTCAAATTAAATATCCAAAAAAATATTATTAGCCAATGTTACCTATCCTGCTCCACTAGTGGGCAACGTCTGCCATATTTTATTATCCTTTCTGGAAAACCCTCAGAATTCCCTAAAAAATGTGTGACTCTAGGGTAATTTTATATTTGATCAATTACTAGACATTCCATGTGACCGCACGACGAGTCCCGACTAATACCTGTAACCATGTCTGTTCCAGCTTGTATAGATGTGTTTTAATATTTGTTGAAATCCGTTTTACATCTTAACATTATACGATAATTTGCCATGATTTGTCAAAAAAAAAAAAACAATGAAGAAGAAAAGGAAAAATCGTTGCAACATGCTGAGATAATCGTGTCCTGCCACAGCAACGGTGATAACAGGCCGACGCTACAGAACATGAGTCAGTGAGAACGGCAGGCTGGGATTACTGGAGCTTTGGGGAAATGGAAAACTTTGATGACTGCTATTAACACCAGAGAAATTGGTTACCGTGACTGTAGTGTGAGGTGAATGCAACTTTAACCTGGTTGGAGACTGGAGCGGGGACTGTCTGCAGTCTCGCTGCTCTTCTGTGGCTTCCAGGTTAACGACAAATAACCGAGCCTGACAAAGAAATAGTGAAGCTAATAAAAGAGATAATTAGCTGCTGCCGGGTTGTACAAATATGGGCTTAATATCGATCTTCTCTTCTAATACCTGTTAATAGGGCTAATAAATATTTTTGACAATGCCTAACTGCTTTTTAAACGAGTCCATTTGTTTTGATAGCTGTAAAAAAAAAATTCAAGAGCCATATTCATAAGAATAAAACGTTGAAATTGTGAATGCTTGACATAAATGGAGTGATTATCCTTTGGCTGACAAAACAACACTTTACTGTTGTTTCCCTCATGACATTTAGAATTCTAACTCCAGGTCGTCCTTATCTACATTCTTCTTCTTCTTCTCCCACCCAATGATTCCATCTCAAATATTCTCTTCTCCATTCTTAGCTGCCCCCCCTTCATGAGCCAATTTCTAATTCCATCCATTCTGGTCACTCTCAGTGAAGAGCTGTGTGTCCTTAACTCCACCACTTCCTGCTCAGTCCTCTGCCTTGAAGCCCAGTGGTTCTCAACCAAAACACAACACTAATGAGGTCGGCATGTGTGCAATTTCCCCAAAGACACCTGCTGGTCAGATACTTGAAAATTCAGTGGTTTCTTTTTTTTTTTAGTATACAAAGCTGAGTGAGTGATACAATGGAGCAATGCTGGATTTGTGCCGTTTTACCAAAACAAAACTGTAGTTATTTTATAATTATCATAACTGAGCATTAGTCCATAACCAGATGTGAAATGTGTAATACTTGAAATGCTAATACTTCCCATCAATGTGTGTGTAGTAGAGATGAAATGATTGCAGTTTTTGGCTGATTCCAATTTCTCTAGTAGAGATGAAATGATTGCAGTTTTGCAGTTTTTGGCTGATTCCAATTTCTTTTATAATTGTCATAATTAGTCATAGTTTCCACTCAGTCCCAGGTTCTCTCTTCAGTTCAATAACATTCATGAGTTACTAAGTGAAAATGGTTTTATGAGCACCCATTTTCTGGCTAATAGAACTGCAGAACATAATATCTGCAATTCATATTGGTTTTTGTAGTGACTTTGAGAGAGAAGAACAATAAATGAGTTCTTCTTTTTCTTATCTTGAAAAAAATGTTCAATAATTATAAAATTGAACAAAGTTATGGTGCAAATGTTGTTTTATTAAGTGAAGTTGCTAATGAGAATAAGTAAAAAGGCAATTTTAACAAATGAAGTCATCTCTAGTTCCTCTTGTCATGTCACATGACAGACATGTTGTCTGGATGACTGTAGTTTAAGTATTGCATTGTCGTGTAAATCAACTTTGTGATGGCTCCCTGACGATTAACCTTACACTGTTACATGTGTAACACTTGGTGAGCGGTCGATCAGTGCATCTCTAGAGTCGGACTTCTATGAACATCTGTTTCCGTATTCCCGCAGACTTCATGACTTTTCATTTTCCAGGCTGAGATCAAACAGTGAGCAATGGTTCTCAAACCATAGTAACTGTACAACTGATGGTACGTGAGCCCTCTAGTGGTGTACGTGGCTGTAAAGGAGGTTTTGGTGGATTTAAAGCTAAATAATCTTGTAAGGAGTGAATGCTCTTCTTTGTACACTGTGCAGGCCTTGGCTGCTGTGTTTTAATGTTGGTATTTGGAGAGATGTATACTTCTGTTAAGTGTATGGTCAGATTTGAAAACTGAGGTGTGTAAATGTCAAGTGTCAGTCATTTTGACTGAGTTTAAGAGAGATTTGTCATGGATTATATTTCTCTTCTTTTTCTAATAATGACTCTGGCAACCATATTCCTACTTAAGGAAGTCCAAAGGAAACTTCTTCACATTTTTGTTTTTCTTGCTTTTGCTTAAAAGCATATAAAACTGTTTTATTGAGAAGAGCAAATAATTTAAGAAGAATAAAAGTTCAATCCGTCTGCCATTTTGCACTGCCAACTAAATGTGAAATAGTTATTTATAAATGATATATCATCTTAACGTTTCATTAATCACACAAACACTGACACCATCTCTGGTCCATTTAAGCCTGACAAAGTGCAGAGTAACAACCTCAGTGCTCAGTACCAGCCTCACAGCAAACCTCACTAATAGCAACGCTGCGACTGACTTAGTGTGGTGAGAGAAGACAGGGAAGGTTCTGTCTGTTTGGAGAAGGAGGGAGCCACAGGGGAGAGCAGTGGGATTTGGGAACAAGGGGAAATGAGAAGGACGCAGAGTCTGGAAAGACTCTTTCATGCAGTGAATACTGATGTTGTAATGAGGCTAACGAAAAAACGGAGGAGAAAAGTGAGAAGGATTTCGGAAAACCTGCTGTGCCTGCTTTACATCATCTCTCTGTCTTCTCCACACACACACACACACACACGCACGTACACACACGCGCGCGTACACAGAGTCGATTAGAACTTTCCCTTTTTTCAGGGTTGTTATTTAACAAACCAAAGTATCAGATAATTAAAAAAGTTCAGAACAGACTTTAAGCAGAGGTTGAGGTTTGAAAGCAGGATAGAGTGAATCTGACACCACATTAACTGCTACACCGGTGAGCCCATGTGCTGGCAACTGCAATACATCATATTTTACATCATCTGTCATCCGAGGACTACACGCTATCACCACCGGCAGAATGTGCACGGGTTTTAAAAGAAATGGGATTTGACTGAGACCAAATATCCAGTCTCCTACCTATGGATAATGTGATCATCTTTAAACTAATTATAATTCAATCCACCAGTTAACGAAAGATTATTGCAATTAAGCTGTGGATAATTGCTTAATTAATCCAATCGTAATTATAGTGGTGATGAAGGCGCACAGAATAAAACCTCGGAACACATTTGGAGTTTGGCACCGGAATGCTTGACGAAGGATCGTGTGTCACATGCACATTCGTGTAATTAAGAAAATAAAACCAACTGAATTAGACACAAATTTGTACCTGAATCCGGGTAGCGTGGCCTGGCGAGGTCTCGGAAATAGTAGATAAAATCCAGGCAGTTTTCGTTCTGCACTTCCCCCCTGGAACAGAGATCTGACAGGAGTTCGAGCGCCTTTTGACAAATCTCGTCATCTCCGTCTCCAGGCATTTCCCACCAGCATCCTTATAAATGGAGGGTTTCTTGTGCAGGCACCACGGCACCGCAATATACCTACTCCACACCAAGGATCAGCGCGTGTTGGTTTCTTCTTTTTTTTTTCTTTCCCTTTTTTTAAAAGCAGCCACTCATCTATATCCAGATCCAGGGGCACGCCTACATTCACGGTGGAATTGTTGGAGACGCTCCGTGTTGGAAGGAAGGTGGAAAAAAAACACTTGTCCAAGTTATCCAGAAAACATCAATGCACTCCTTTACAAACATAAATCGTTCTTTTTCACTCTTCACCACACTCCTGCCGCCGCCGCCGCTGCCGCCGCCGCCAGTGAAGCCACCGGTTGAATCAACGCTTGGACACTGCGGCGCTTCCTGCGCTGTCCATGGTGCTGAACGGGCAGAGCGCTTGATCCGTTTGTATTTTCACGGCTGGACGTGAGAGACAAGTGATTAATTGAAGTCGCGCAAAAGAGGAAGACAAACAGGAGAGAAATTCAAATTGTTCAGAACGCCGATCACTCCTCTTGCCAAAAATCAATCTGGTGTGGTTTTACGTTCGACCAATCAGAGTAAAGCACATTTCCCACCCACCCCCGGGTGGGAATTCTACTGTGGGAATTATGTTTTTTTTTTTATTTGACACATCAGGCAATGTGTGACTCCGGATTTCACCCAAAATCATTCATGCAATTTTAACAGTTAGTGTAGTAGAACTGAGGTTCAGCTATTTGGTCTTCTTTTTTTTAGTCCTTTTCTGCTGTAGCCCACATGCAGTGAAACCCATGGTTCGTCTTTCACTGCTGAGGTATAAAACAGGTATAAAAGGTATAAAAGAAAGAATAGGTATAAAATAGTAAGAAGCTGGAAATGCGTGCAAACAATGGGTTATTTGATTTCCATTGGCTTTTATTATTTTCTAAGAGCCCCAGGCATAATTATAATCAACAACTCCATAAATTTCTCCAGGGACAATCAATGTCAATACTTGAAAGAGAGTGGGATGAGCTGCTGGCATAAGCCTTTCTAAAGGCTCGCTGTTGATTTCTTCTCTGCTAAGTTCGTTCCAGTGATTGACAGTCAAGCTGATTGTGACACGTAGCCCGAGTCGTGATGTGTGTGTGTGCCCTTACAATAGAGAGAGAGGAGAGTATTAACTGCAGTGTTTTTGTAGCTACACCATGATTTGAACCATGAGATTGGTGACATCTGAATACACGATCAGCAGGGTTTGGGAACAAGGTCTGTAATTATCTGACACAATTAAAACTTTACAAAAACATTCACTAATTATTATCTGCACGATACATACGATCTCTGCAATTTAGAAGTAAAGCACAATACTCACCAAGGCA